ATCGAGATCTCCCAAGGTATACTGGAAGTGTTTTCCCCCAAACCAGAGTTCTACCCCAACCTGGCGCGCCTCAAACTCACACTCGGGGACGCCAAGGAGCGGGTCAGGTGAGGATTTCACTGTCTGTCATCCTTTTGGTTTTAGTAAGAGTTTTACTGCCCTTGTAACTCGATCGATAGATAGATAGATAGATAGATCGATCGATCGATCGATCGAGACAGAGAGAGAGAGAGAGAGAGAGAGAGAGTGAGAGGTGAGAGAGAGAGAGAGAGAGAGAGAGAGAGAGAGAGAGAGAGAGAGAGAGAGAGAGAGAGAGAGAGTATATAAAGCATCTGATGTGATATGCACATTTTGTCAGCTTTACTTCTCTCTTCATATTGAATTTTAATGAGAGTAATATATAATAAAAATTTTAATGTATACCTGCATGTGTTTTTACGGTCCTGTACAGCCAAGAAAAATTTCCCTCTGGGATAATAAAGTATTATTTTATCTTATCTTATGAGTACCGAAGATTAGAAATGTTACAAAAGAGTAACAAACACAAAAAAGAAGGAAGGAAGATAGAGACGATTGATTTATTTAAATAGGAAAGAAGGAGTACACCACACCAGAGCTCCCACCAATCATCATGGTCTGTCTTCCTGCACAACTCTTATTTCTAACTCTTTTTCGCTTACTTTTAGGGGGTGGATGGTTGGTGTGGGCTCTGGTGTGGTTTGCTCCTAACTGCTTTCCAATCAAACATCTATCGTCTTGATCTGACAAACTCTTTGCAATTATCCCAAGTCCATTTTTGTAAAGAATACAAGTTTGATAACAACTTCCCTATCTTTAAACAAATGTTATTTTGTAATAACTTTAAGTTTTTCGGCTGTCGTTTATAATAGCCTACATAGTGTAAGGCGCATAGAGCTTGCTGTCGAGCAGGAGTATTAAATAATTATTGTTATTTTTATTTTTATTATTATTATTATTATTATTATTATTATTATTATTACTATTACTATTATTATTATTATTATTATTATTACTGTTATTATTATTATTATTATTATTATTATTATTATTATTATTATTATTATTATTATTATAATTACTACTACTGCTACTACTACTATTATTATTATTATTATTATTATTATTATTATTATTATTACTGTTATTATTATTATTATTATTATTATTATTATTATTATTATTATTATTATTATTATTATTATTATTATAATTACTACTACTACTACTACTACTACTACTATTATTATTATTATTACTATTATTGTTATTATTATTATTATTATTATTATTATTATTATTATTATTATTATTATTATTAATTGTAAAATGTGCCTATACTGTACTGTTACAAATGAGGACAGAGCAGATCGTCATCCCCACCTCGTGTTTGTCATTTCTGTTTTGTTTTTCCTCCTGGAATGTCCATGAAATACTTCTGTTCCCTTTCAGATGGCGCTCCAAACAAAACTTGGACTACGCGTTCTTGATGCTTCATGCGTGGACACGAGGGGAATATTACATACAGGTACTGTTGGGGTTGGAGGTGGGGGGAGGGGAGGAAGGAAGGGTCGGAGGGATGGAAAGGGGGGTAGGGATGGAAAGGGGGCGAGGGGGAAGGAGGTGTGGGGAAGGAGGTGTGTGGGAAGGAGGTGTGTGGGAAAGAGGTGTGGGGGAAGGAGGTGTGTGGGAAGGAGGTGTGGGGGAAGGAGGTGTGGGGGAAGGAGGTGTGGGGGAAAGAGGTGTGGGGGAAGGAGGTGTTTGGGAAGGAGGTGTGGGGGAAGGAGGTGTGGGGGAAGGAGGTGTGGGGGAAGGGAGGAAAGGATGCTGCACAGTGTAAACCAGAAATGGCTTTTTCTTAAAATTATCTACATCAATGAAATAATGTGTATATATGGTTTTCTTTGTATACGTATTATATTTGTGTGTTCAAATATGTTCATGTATATATATGTTTGCCATTGTAACCCAAATTTCCCTGTGGGTGGTAGGCTGGCTGGTTCTCTGGTGTGGTTTACACCTTCTTTCCTATCAAACATCTATCATCCTGATCTCTCCTCGTTTTTATATGTGTTTGTTACAATTTTGTAACACCTCTAATCTTCTGGACTCCTCTGACCTTATTGTGTTGCAAAACGCTTATTGAAAAAACAAACAAAGACAACAAAAACTCCTCATTAGGATCAATAAAATGTAATTTATTTATTGTTTTATTCTCCGTCTTTTCCTAAATTGTGTACGTCGGTTTGATGTTGCCCGTACGTCTCGCTCTACAGCTGGAGGATGATCTGTCGGCGCAGAAAGGATTCATCACAAGCATGTCCAACACCATCAATAAACAGTACGGGGAGTGGTTCCTGCTGCAGTTTTCTACTCTAGGATTTATTGGTAAGTCATGTTAGTCATAGACAAAGACGAGCTGATCTTTTTTATTGTACCACTGTAAAACAGTAGATCGTAAATATTTGTGGCGGGTGCTCTCGTATGGTTTGCTGCTTCTTATTTCCTATCAAACATCTATCGTCCTTATCTCCCCTCCTTTCTTTTTTTGTGTTTGCTACTCTCTTGTAACACCTCTAATCTTCGGCACTTATATAAACTTATTGTGTTGAAAGTGCCGTAAAACACTTGCTAAGATTAAAACAAGACATCATCTTAGTGTTAGGTAAGGATAAATAAGATATAGCCCCTCCCCCTCCTCCCCCCT